TCTCTCCATGTCTATGCCTTGTGCATTTTCATTCACCCACATGAATGCTGTTCAGTCCTGTATTGCCTCTCTCAAGGGTCTCCTGCAAGCAGTGGTTATCACAGCAGGGCCTGTTCAGTGTTGGGCTTGAGAAGAGTTTCTGCCAGCCTATGCCTGTGGCTGTTGCTTTGTTTTGACAAATAAGCTAGGCTTGTATGCTCTTGTAGCTCTGGACTCCTTCTGTCACCTCCTCGACATGAAGCAAGGTCTGATTTCAGACCTGGTTAGTCTGAAAGTGCAGTCACACGCATGTACAGAGCGAGCAGGTCTGTTGCAGGTTAGAGAAGGGCACGTGAGGGACCTTTGGATGATGCTCTGTTTTGGAGAGGGAGAACCAGGTTCAGATGATGTTTCCACACCTCCTCAGAGCTGGTCTGCCATCTTCTGAGGTCCAATGCCCTGGAAAAGAAACGTTTAGAAAATCTGGTCTCATTTCCTTGCTCTGACACAGACTTACTGCATGACCTTGGGCAAGTTTCCTTCTGGCTATGTTTGTGCGTCTGAAAGCACAGCTCCCATGCACCTCGAGCCACACTGCTTTGCCTCCTGCCCATGTTGCTGCATGCTAGCTGGGTGTGTGGGCATTGGTTATGGCCTCTGTGCCTCAGTTTGCCTTCTGTCTCTGGAAACATGTGATCTTGCTCTCCTTCATTGGATTGTGGGGAGGGGAAACACACTGAGGGTGGTGAACACCTTGGCATTACCACAATATTTCAGGCCGTTGGGTGCTGCCATGGCGATGATGCTGAGTGGAGGCCAACATGAGGGGCTTTCCATTTGCCACAAACAAAAGATCATTTACCTCTCTTGACTTTAAGGCAATTACTTGAGCCAATAAAAAGCCCTTTGGTGTCTGTTGGCCAATGGGAAAAAACAAGCTTGCAGTCTGGGTTTACTTAATTCATTAAAGAGATCATTCTCCTGAAACAAAGATGATGCAGGAGAGGATCCCCACACAGGAGAGGAGGAAGGCTCAGCGTACGGGGTTTGTATTTTGCTTCAGCCCAGCAACTCCTTTTGTAGAGAGGGAGACGTTAGATAATCTTTGTCTTATGAGCTTCCCTGCAGGGTTTTGGTGTGGCAGAAGGGGGAAAATGGAGGCAGGGAATGCCCTGAACCACACTGCCTGAATGAATGGGCTCTGGTTTGGGGCAGGAGAGCCTCATCTTTGGGGAAATCAATGTTTTATGGGGTGGAAACACAGATCTGAGGGATGTAGGGATTAACAGGGGGACACCAAGCCCATAAAGCCCAAAGGCCTCCAGCTGGACGTGACCCAGCCAGGGCCTTGGCTGACAGTTAAATCCTTTGCGTTTAGGGACGGAGTTTGAGTACACTGACTCGGAGAGTGAGATCAAGATCAGGAAAAAATCACCCTCAGGGCTGCTGCGGGGGAAGAAAGGACCGCTGGAGTCAAGCAGCATCCCACCGAGCCAGGCCCCAAGCAGCCTCGACCCTGGATCTGGGAGTGCTGACAAGGCCAAGCTTGGGGCTGAGAAAGGCCGCAAACTGAAGAAATTCAAGTCCCCCAAGGACTTGAGCTTTGAGTTTGGGTTGGAGGCCAGCGATGACGACCTGTGGAACCGGCGCCGGAGCGAGCGGATCTTCCTCCATGATGCCACCATGTCCTCAACCATGCTGACCCCTGCAGCGCCTGCCAGCTCCACCCCTGTCTCCAAGCCCGGGCGCTGTGGGAAGGGGGCACCCCTGAGCCCCAAAAAGGAGAGCAGCAAGGGGAAGGAGAGGAAGGAGCTAAGCAAGGTGAGGACCGTGTTGGCAGGGTTGGTGTGGAGCAGTGGGGCTCTTGGAAGCTGAGGGCAATTAACTCCTCCAGGGGAGAGGAGAGTTGAGCCCGTCTCAGCCGTTGCCTCGATGCTGTTTGGGTGTCCCTTGTTCCCCTCCACCAGCCCCATGTACACCAAGAGGAGCTCTCAGGCTTGGGTCTGACTCTCAGGGATTAAAAGCTTGTCGTTTTTGAGTAGGGCAGGTTGTCGTGCCACCCTCTGTGTCCCAAATCCACCCTGCCTGGATTGCCCAGAGCGGAAATCCTGCCTTAAAACCTCTGTGAAAACTCTGTCCCATTCTCCAAGGGCAGCCTTGTCGGCTTGCTGAGCTGTGGCCCTGTATGCTAGCCGTTAAGGCCGTTCATCTTTTACGTATGGTGTCTTCCGGGGGGCTGTGCCTGGCCGGTAGTGGCAGTGATCTCTCCCTAGTTGCTGTTTCTTCGGCTTAGCTGAAAGTTCGGCTCCCGTTATCTCCAAATCAGCTCCTGATGGAGTTATGGGGAGCGCTGGTTGTGGGGAGAGTTAGACAAGTTGTGACATGAGGCCAGCTAGGATCTTCTTGGAGCTCCCTGAGGGAAAGTTTGATGGGTAGGAGTTGCTCTCTGGGGTAATGAAGAGCTCTCACTGGAGCGTGTGAATCCTGAATGCGGAGGGTGTGCTGCAGAGGTAGGGTGTGGTGCAGTCAGTGAACTGATAGCTGGCTGAATGTCCTCCTATCTGCATACAGTCTGCTTTGCTCCACCTTTCACCTCTCCCTGGACCCTGATCTTTGCTAATCCTGTCTCTTTACTGATAGGAGATATTCTCTTTTTTCTCTTAGCAACGGAAGAAGGGTAAAGAAGCACCCTGCTGCTCCTCCTCCTCATCCATGTCACCTCCTGGCATCCCTAGCTCCCCGTCTGATGTCCGAGTCAGCCTGGCAAATGCCCTAGGCTCCTCGAAGAAGAGTAAAGCCAAGGTGAAAGCCAAGGAGGTGAAGAAAGAGGTGAGGGGCTGGTGCTAGGCCTGGGCTGGCTGGAGTCGGCCAGTAGAACCGTGCTCTTTTCCTGGTCTGTTGCAATGGGAGGGGGAAAAATGCAAACACAGAGGCCTCGCTCTGTGCTTTAGAGACAAAGTGCTGGTTTGAGAAGCCTAAACTCCAAGGAAGGCTAAGAGCGGGTACCTACCTCCACCGTCTGGTGTTAGCTTGACTTCATCCCCCAAGTTAATGTGCAGACAGAATTTTCTCTAAGGCCACCACAGGGGTGGAGGGAAGCCTTCAAGGATGGCAAAGACTCAGGAGATGGTGATGGAGTTGCTCTGTTCACCACTGGGTGATCTGGTCCATGCCAGGTCACCACTGTTTTCTTCTCCGTTATTGTGGCCTCTCTTCTCTCATCGCTGCATCTTTTTTGCATGATTCGGAGTGTAGTAGTTATTGTCCATGCATAACAGCAAGAAACAGATTGCAGGACTTTTAGAAGAAATGTGAACAGTGTTTGCTACCTGTTTTGTAAAGACAAAAAGGTGGCAAACGCAGAGCAGCGCTATGGCTGTCTTCTCCTCAGCATCTCTTGTAATGTCCAGGAGTCAGATGCAGCTAGGATTTTTGAAAGGGCTGTTGCTCAGCTGTCAGTAACGCTTGGGAAGAAACCCAGAAAACCAAAGGTCTTTTTGCAGCCAAAAGGCAATTTTGGGTACACCCACTTCACTCTCTGCAGTGGTTAATGTGGCTGGGGATGAAGATGAGTTTGTCTCAACATCGTCAAGTTATTTGTTGCTAGAGGAAGGTAAGATGGGATCAAACTATTGCCCCTTGGCGTCCCGCGGACACGGTGCTTGCTCTCCTGCAGAACCGAGGGAAAGGAGGAGCAGTCAGCAAGCTCATGGAGAGCATGGCGGCTGAAGAGGATTTTGAACCCAACCAAGACAGCAGCTTCTCAGAGGATGAGAACATCCCGCTGAGCATGCTGGTCGAGCGGCCACCCACACCAGGTGAGGGAAGGAGGGGCCAGCGGACTAACTGTGCAGGTGGAAGAGCTAGACAAGGTTCCCAGAGTTGCTCAAAGGAAGGCTCTCCAGCTTTCCTGTGTTATTTGTCCAGAGCATGAGTCCTCAGGCTGGAGGACCCACCTTTCCAGTCAATTGGCTTGCCTAATGTAAGCCTCATCAGAATGACCAACAGTGTTTGATGTCTAGATGAAGCCCAGTTTCTGAGCTGCCCTGTTTTCCTTGACCGGTATATTATTATCACCGAAAAGGAGGCCTTTTTTTTCTTCCAGGAGCTAGCCAAAGAGAGGCAGCCCTTATTGCAAAGGGCTTGCTGGCCCTGTCATAAGGGCAAGTGATGCTGGGACCATCAGATTTCCCTCTCCCCTTGCTACTACTTTTTCATGTACGATGCTCTCTAACCTCTATCTTGCTCCAACACCTCACAGCTCCCCGCTCCTGCATAATTGACAAGGATGAGCTGAAAGATGGCCTGCGTGTCCTCATCCCCATGGATGACAAGCTACTCTACGCCGGTCACGTCAAGACAGTGCATTCGCCTGACATGTAAGTTAAAGGCTTTCCGTGTCTGCCTGGGCTCTGCTGGTGAATGGGACATAGCTGATGCAGGGATTGACTTTGGGGCTACGGGAAGAGATGGACAGTGTATGGCAGGGAGGAAAGAAGAGTTTACTCTGGTTTGTCAGTGCTGAGGAAAATCCAATTACCCCTCATTACATGTTCTCAACTAAACTGGTGGCAGGGCTCAGAGGGAGATGTTAGCTGACCGAGGTGACCTCTTCTGCATGCTGTGTCTTACTGAGCCTTTGTGTTTCAGATACCGCGTGGTGGTGGAGGGTGAGAGGGGAAACCGTCCCCACATCTACTGCCTAGAGCAGCTATTGCAGGAAGCGGTATGTGAGGCCAGGGAGTGCCTGTGCCTGGGCCCTGTTTCAGGGTGGAGGAGGCTATTGGGAAGTCCTCCTGGCTGGGGCAGCATGGGAGTCCCGGTTCTGCCTCTGTAGCCCATCTGGGCAGAACTTCCTTTGGTGTGGGTGGCTGCCCTGTGGGCTCAGTTCCCCACTGGAGGTGAGCACCAGCCCTGTGTGCCAGTGGGGACAGTCCTTCATGCTGCCCTGTGAGGAGACAGAAGGCTGTTTCCCAGTGGGGAAACTGTCCTTTGTCTTCTCCAGAGCTGCTTTGCTACACGGCAAGTGTGGTGGGATGGTCTGTGCTGGTGCGGAGAGCATCGGTAATTGCCTCCCTCTTGCCCCAAGCAGATCATTGACGTGAAGCCGCCTTCTGTGCGATTCCTGCCTGAGGGCACAAGGATTGCAGCCTACTGGAGCCAGCAGTACCGCTGCCTCTACCCAGGGACAGTTGTCCGAGGTAAGGCCACCCTGGCTGCCCTGCACTGTGAAACAAGGACATCTCAACCCTGTGGACCCCTGGTGAGGGACACCAGGCTTGTCAGGGGCAGCCGTGAGGTCTGCTATGAGTGTCTCAGAGATCGGAGCCTGTCCCGTTCCTCTCCTCTGGCCATACTCAACTCTGTGAGGATACTGATGTAGTAACATCCCATGGTCCGGGAGCTGTGCTCTCGCAGGAAGAAGTCTGAGGGGTTTAGGAGCTTAAAATATCAGGCAATTCAACGCATTTCAAAAGGTCAGGATTGACTCCAGCCCAGGGTTCCGTGTTTTCTGAGGTGGTGGAGGTTTCTAAATCACCTGCCTGCTCATAGCTGCCTCTGACACATCACCAACTCCTGGTGCCTCCTGGTCTGGCCCTGTTAAAAAACCAGTGAAGAGTCCTGGACAGTTCTGCTATGACTGGTCTTGCCTTTGGGCTCTCAGTCACACTACACGTGTGTATGAGGGAATTATGATTTACAGTGTATAGACCAGAGATGCTGATGCAGGGAGAGAGGGAGGAAACACAACTTATTTCTGTTGAAGAGAAGATGAAAAACAGGAGCTTGTGATTATTGAGAGTAGTTACAGAATGCAGGTCAAAAAAAAAAAGAAACTGCAATAAAAATGGTAAAGTGAATCTGTGCAAGTATAGAGGGAAGCAGGGAGAAGAGATGGGAAGTCAAACTGAAGCAGCTCTTACGCACTGGAGCAATACCCTTGACAGGGAAGTTTTGCACTTGTTGGATGAACGTAGTATCATCAGGGATTTTTCATTGTGGAGTGAGCCTTCTGCCCTCTCCCTGCACAGATGTATAGGAAAAGTGGGGACAGGATACTTTGGAGCTTGTGCAGGAATGGATCCCATCTACTTCTTGAATCCTGGGAGTTCCAATAGCAGAAGGGAGTCTGTTCTGCCCGTTGACCTGCTCTTGTCACATTTTATCTGCTCCAGGCCCTTCAGCCTGGCCCCAGTGGGCTAAATTTCACACCCAGGGGCCACTGTGGCTTACCAGCATAATCTGCTTAGGATCTGATTCCAACAAACAGATCTGTCATTTGTGTGTCCCCACTTTCCTGATGAATGGTTTGTGCTGTCCTGTTTATTCCTAATCCTTTTCTTTTGTCTTCCAAACTCACAGGAGCCCTGGATCTGGAGGAAGACGGAGATCTCATCACAGTAGAGTTTGATGATGGGGATACAGGACGCATCCCACTGTCTCACATTCGGCTTCTCCCACCTGACTACAAGATCCAGTGTGAGTCCTGCTGCTCAGCTTTTTGCATGACACTTCCTACTACCAAACTTAGGGAGTTTGGGGCCACCAGCCTCTGAGATTTTGGGGCTAATTCACAGACTTTGATACACAAAGGTTGCACCACCAGTTATGGGTGTGGAAAGCTAGAGTGGGACATAATCCATCAGGAGAAAGGCCTGATCCCTATTGTAGTATTGGCAGGGGTATGTTCCCTGTGTCTCCTCTCTGTTGTATGTGTTGTTTGATTGCCTTTGACCATCTCTTTGACCTGTTGCAGGTGCTGAGCCCTCCCCAGCCCTCTTGGTGCCCAGCACCAAGCGCCGTAGCCGTAAATCCAGCAAGGATACTGGAGAAGGAAAAGAGGGAGCTACACTGGGGTCAGAGGAGCCCGTGTCAAAAGGCAAAGGGCGTGGGAGAAAGCCGAGCGTCAAGGCGAAAGCTGGTAAGTAGTCACTGCTGCTGGACCTGAAACTGAGAGTCCTTCTGCAGTTCCCCATCACTCTCCCTGTCTTAGGACAGTTGCTTGGATCAAGGTGTGGAGGGAAATGGATGCACTTCTTGGTCCCAGCAGAGTGCCCAAGCATGAGACCTTTCTGCAGGAGCTACAGTTCGCAGGAGGCTGGCTCAGAGAGCCTCTTTCTGTCAGTCAGCTGTAGAGCATGCGTTTTTAAGCTGAGCATCGCAGCAGCCATCAGCAGGGCCAAAGATGAAGGAGATCTGCAGTTTGGTTCCTCTGCGGTCGAAGCAGCACCCTTGGGCATTGCCAGTCAGCCGCTCGTGTGCGCTGGCATCGTCCCGGGATGGCCTAGGCTCCTTATTAAACCTGTTCAGTGAGCGAGGAGGACGTGTTCCTTTTTAGGGAGATCTAAACAGTCAGGAACAAGGCACACTTGGTCAGAAACCAGTCAGCATTGGTGTCAGGCTGTGTTAAGCTAACAGTGCTCATTTGGGTAGATACCATCGTGCGTATGTGCTTTTTCCCCTCTGCAGAAGAGGCTGCCTTGCCAGAAGAGAAAGATCAGGTTGATTCTTCACCGGGTGCCTCTTCAGTCCCAGAGAAGCCAGCCTGCCTAGGCAAGCCAAGCGTGAAGGGGTCGCGAAAATCCCAGTCCCTGCCAGCTGGAGGCTCTCCTGCCCCCACAGAGGAAAAGCGGTCGAAAGCCAGCAAAATGAAGATCTCCACTAAGCTGCACAGTCCTCCGCAGCCCGCCTACCAGCCTGCTGTGTTTGGCAACATCCTCAGCACAGAGCCCTACAGCGACCTCTCAGGGACGCTGGCAGCCTTTGGCTCTGGTGATACTTCGGCAGCAAAAGCCAAGGCCAAAAAGGGGCGGGCCACAGAAGAGACGCAGGAGTTTGGCACCATGGTCAAGGCTCAGAGGAAGCATGACAGCGAAATCCTGATCAAGCTGGACCATGAGGGCGTGATGTCTCCAAAGACGAAGAAGATGAAGGAGGCAATGAGGATGCTGGAGGACTCAAACCTGGCAAATCGCAGGGACAGCAAGAGTCTCTTGGGGCTGGGCTATTCGCCTGCCATGGGTGCTGAGGGCAAGCAGAAGTCTTCCCGAGGCAAGGGAGCTGAGGGAGACCCTTGCCCTGCCAGCTTTGGGGGGAAGTTTGATGGCTCGGGTGAAAGCCTAACAGCCTCAAAGGACCAGGAGGACAAGACGGCATCTCCGGCAGCTGTGGAGGAGTCTGAGAGCAACAGCAGCGACAGCAGCTCGGAGTCAGAGGGAGAAGAGGAGGCCGAGAAGAACCAGGGAGAGGCCCAGGATAGCAGCTCAGCCAGCTCGAGAGCATCCACCCCTCTCTCTTCCTCCAACTCCTCCTCCTCTTCCTCTTCTAGCAGCAGCTCCTCTTCATCCTCCTCTTCCTCCTCTTCTTCCGCCTCATCGACTTCCTCTTCATCAAGCTCCAGCTCCTCTTCCTCCTCCACCACAGATGAAGACTCCTCCTGCAGCTCTGATGATGAGGTAGCAGAGGCCCAGCCAAGCTCCTCCATCCAGCAAACCCTCCCTCCCAAGCAAACCAAGCAGGCAGGGAAATCCCGTGCATCCTCCCACCCCCAGAGCCAGAAACAGCCAGCACAGCAGCCAGCACAGCAGCCGGCACCACAGCAGAGCGGCAACAAGAGCAGGCCCAAAAAGCGTGAGGGCATTCACCTGCCCACCACCAAGGAGCTGGCCAAACGCCAGCGGCTGCCTTCAGTGGAGAACAGGCCCAAGATCGCCGCTTTCCTCCCTGCACGCCAGCTGTGGAAGTGGTTTGGGAAACCCACCCAGGTAAATATGGCCTCTCCCACTGCTCTGTAGGGCTTCGGCACTGGCGTTTGCCTAGTGGTGCCTCCTTACCGTGCTGCTGGGGTTGCCCAAAGGAGCCTTTCCCTTCTCCTGGACTTGCAAAACTCTGCTGGCTTGGTGCGTTCCCATCCTGGCCCTGGCTGTGGAGCTATCTCCACTTTGGAAGGAGGTTGGTGTTGGTGTGTCCTTCTGCCCACTTTTTCCCATGGGAATGTCCTGTTGATGTCCTGGTTGAAGGCTAACACCTGGACCTGTCTCCCAATTCTGCATTAGATGGTGGGTAGTACCAAGGCCACAGCAACACCTCCCAGTGAGGGGGAGGTTGTGGTCATTGCCAGGCCGTGGCTGGCCCTGCTGACAGCAAAAAGCAGGATGCGAAACTGGGCAGACGGTGGTGGCTGGGGAGACTTGAGTGATGCCTGGCAGCTTACCTGTGCACTCATCTCTTGGCAGAGACGAGGAATGAAAGGGAAGGCCAGGAAGCTCTTCTACAAGGCCATTGTCCGGGGCAAGGAGATAATCCGCATTGGAGACTGTGCGGTGTTCCTCTCAGCTGGCCGCCCCAACCTGCCCTACATTGGCCGGATCCAGAGCATGTGGGAGTCGTGGGGGAACAACATGGTGGTCCGGGTCAAATGGTTTTATCACCCAGAAGAAACCAACCCTGGGAAGAAACTCAATGAAGGCAAGGTAGGCTAGTCTGCTTTGCTGAGAGGGCTGCAAAGCTGCTTGTCCCCATTTTTTTCCAAGGACAAGGAAAATACCCATGGCCCCATTCATTACTGGTACCCAAGACGGGGTGCCCCCCTCGTTTCATGTGCTAGGGCTGCCTGTGGTGTGGACAAGTCTGGCATTTACCCTTTGAGCGAGGGAAGGGCGGCGTTTTATCCTGTTAGAAACAAACTTGTGTGTGAATCCAAATGTTTTATCAAGAGCCGGACTGAGGGTAAACACTAGTGACCTGGTACTCAAAAACACTGACTTTCACTCATGTATGTGCAGTGTGGTTTACAGCCTGCTCCCTGTACTTATCACCACTGGTAGTGGATGGAGATGGAGGCTGTGAACGTACATGCTGGGAGTAGTAGATGATAAAAAGGGAAAACAACTGATTCACCACCTTTTCATTTCTGTCCCCGCTTTTTCTCTTGGGCGCAGCGCTGGGATCAGAAATCTGGCAGGAGTCTGTCCACAGCTTTGCAGGCATCCAACCAGAGGAAGGACTTTATGGAGGTTGGTGGAGCTGGGGAAGCACTGGGAAGGGCTGCAGGGGGGCTGCATAACAAATGCTGCAGGGCAAAAGCCTATGACCATCTCTGGCTCTAGCTTTTTATCTCAGCAGCTGAGTCTGCTGTGTCCAGGACTTTGGCTAGTTGTTTCCTGGAGGGTGGGAATAGTTGCCAGTGCTGGATGTTAGGGGCCAGGAGGCTGGCATTCTGACATCCACCTTTGCGTTTCCATCCTTGACAGGAGGATGACAAAACCCCAGCCTTCTTATTTCCCTGTCCCAAGTGCTCTGCAGCCAAAGGGTTCCCACAGTTGGGAGCTGGCTTTGAGCAAGGGCTCAGATTTAGCACCCTGGGCTGACTGCATCCGCGCTGCCCATGGGAGCAGGCCCACGTGTGTCCCTGCCCCAGACTGGGTCCAACTGGAGGCAGTGTGGACGACTGGGGAGCTTTGCTTGGAGTGTTGAGTACAAGCCCCGGGTGACTGCAGTGAATGCTTTTCCTGCATATTGAAGATGATGCTTCAAATGCTGTGATCTACTGACGGTTCCTTTTCTCTCTGTCTCCCTCTTTCCATTCCTGTCATGCAGCGAGCCCTCTACCAGTCCTCGCATGTGGATGAAAATGATGTCCAGACCATCTCACACAAGTGTCTTGTTGTTGGTCTGGATCAATATGAGCAGATGCTAAAGACAAAGAAATATCAAGACAGTGAGGACCTCTACTACCTTGCAGGGACCTATGAGCCCACTACGGGCATGATCTTCAACACTGATGGGGTCCCTGTCATCTGCTGACCGCCCAGGGGACACGTGCCACCCCCTGGGAAAGGATAGGACAAACCTGAGGACGTGCCTGTTCAGACGACATGATTGTTTCTTTCAATGCTCATGACTTCTGTGTCACACTACAGACAGGAGAGCACGAGAGACAGGGAGGAGGAAGGAGAGGGCTGGAGAAAGGGCTTGGGGAAGCAGTTACAGGACTTGTGGAAGATGCCGTGGGTGGTGGTGATGCCTGAACCCCAAGGCTCTTCTGGAAGTGGCTTTAATTAAGGTGACGCTTGACCAACTTCTCCCTTCCTCATTTTGATCCTGGAAAGCACATGGGTCTCATGATCATTTCACCAGCGGGACCCCCCCAGCAGGAGGGATCCCTTTTGTGTCATTTGCCCCCCATTAACCCAGAAGCTGCCTGTATGTGGAAGTTCACCAGCTAGCCTTCTGCATACACTCTT